AATTAATGCCAGGTATTCACTCGATAATGAAGTTCATCATCTATTCTTATTCATAGTTTCTTAAGACTTTGATTATAATTATATGTGTTTTATCTGTATTTGAACAGATCAGAAGTATTGAGGATAGAACGTGAGTTAGAAGAGGCCCGTCAACGGTTGGTTGTTATAAGGCAAGCTAAGTACAAAGCTAAAGGCGATGACTCAAGTCCTACGGAACTGTTGGAAAACGATTCGTCATTCGAACATCAATTAAATGGCAGCAGGTAAATTTGGATAATAATTCGCTGTAAAAGTTTTAATTGTATTTCTTTATTTTTTTTTCCGTTGATGTTGTCTGTCGTATTTTGATTATTTTCATTATTGTCGTCCTTAAATGCTGTAGTATTATTGTTTGTAAATTTTTAGACTGTGCTGTGTGTTAAAAACATGACTAATACTTGATTCAATCAAAATATGGTATAATTTGTGTTTATGATAGAAGAACAGCGGTGTTTACAACACTGTATATTAGGAGTTAGGATGATACGTAGTGTGTACTTTTTTTTACCACATTTCCTGTATATCAAATTGAATAAACATATCAAAAAGATGCGATTTTCTACAGCAAACCACTTGTGCATGATAAATATTTTATTGGTAAAACATTGGTGATATATTTTATAGAACCTCTGGTGATAACTACGTCAACAGTAGTTTGGACGAAAATGGAGATAACATTCAGGCAAATGCCTACAACGTGTACAAGCTCCTCAATAACTCGAATGATCAAACTAGTCTGAATACTTTTAATGAAACGTTCCACTCGGGTACAAATAAATTGTACACGTACAATTCAGCAGGTATACCATATAATTATAAATATACTTCATTTGATGGAGAAGGGTGATAATTTGGTGGACACTGCTGTCACTATCGAGACTATATTTATAAAGCTTCAAAAGCTTAAACGCTGGTTTCCATTGCTTGCTTTACCCTATTGTGTCACTGCTAACGCTTACTAACTTTTAATGATCTTAAATTACTGATTTCTTAGTTACTCTGGACAAAGAAACCAATAATATAACATGCAATCGTGTGTAATAATAATCCACAAAAATATACAATTTAGTTAGAAAAAAATATAGCGGAATTAATATATATTTAAATCTTGGTATCAATTACATTTACTTAGCAAACATTTACGGTGAGGTGAGATTGACTTATTTGAAGTTACCCCTTGATCTCTTTATCTGCTATTCTATTGTAAAATAGAAATTATAGATACTTATTACCATTATGTCAATTTGTTAATGTCCATATTTCTATTGCTGGGTTAGGTTATGTAATCTTTGAAATGGGTTAAATTTTGTGTTTATAAAGTTTTTAATCTAAATCTAAAACTAACTCATAATCATTTCTGTGTATGAATTCATTTTTTTCTTTGTTGTATAAAAGTTGTATCTATAAAATAAATTTTAATATCTTGTTGTACAGTGCACACGACATATCATATAGTTATAAAAATAAATAAATATATATTTTTTACTATGGATTACGTTATCATTACAGAAGTGATATGTTAATGCTATTTGATATTACATTATTCATTACCTTATTGTTCCGTAATTTCATATACATGTTAGTATACTGAATATACAACTTAACATTTTTGAATCTATAATGTACTATAATATATGGTGTTTCCTAATATCTGACATTTTACAGTAGGTATCAAAACTGTTTCAAAAGCACAAATAGACAAGAGATATGACTAGGTTATTGTAAAAACTGTGGCGTAACAATCCACTGATTTACTTCATGATTAGTTTTAGATTACCTGTGGGTTAGGTGATGAAAAAAATAATATCTTATACGAGTATTATGCCAATAATACAGTTACACTTTTAATCACTTCTATGCGCCATATGTCTTCCTTTTCTTCTTATATTGTTAGTCATTTTACCCAATGATAATTTATTAATTCACTATCATAATATATAATTGCCTATATTTATTTCCTTAAAATATGACCAACTGCAGTAATGCTCTTTAAGACTTAAGTAAATTTTTACGCTTTACACGTAGAGTTACTCCATTAATACTGTATGAACAATTGCATCACTGATTTATACTTAAATGTTAAGAAGGCCATTGACAGCAGAAAACTTTATGAGATTTGATGAGGTTCAGTTGTAAGATTTGAAATTATTATTTTAATAAGTTTAAAAATATAAATATTGTGATTTTTTATAAGTTAGTATATGTTTATGAACATAATATGATGTTAATTTCAAAGAATCCATTCTTTGGAGGAGAAGGCTTTGATTTTTAGCCACTTTCTAAAAGCCATTAGTGCACCCCTGATAATTTTAGTATTAACTTGTTATAATATATATTTGTTTGATTATTAATAAAACTAATAGGTTTTTTATTTTTCAGGCTCGAGCCCCAAAAATGTGTTTAATAAATCTTCCTCTTTAACCACCAAGAACAATACAGTAAAGTATAATTGTTCATCTACCATCAGCAACAACACAACAACGACTACCAAATCATACACAGTCAATGAATGAGAGCGTCAGAATTATTGTCGTTATTTTGCAGTCACATCTATTTGTACATGATGATGTTTTCCTTTAAAAACTTTCTGCTCTCCTCCACCTTACATATATGCACTAATTAATTTACACAAACACAACAAATTTATTGTCCAGAGCTTATAATGCAAGTATTATTTCATATTTATATAAAATAGCACTAACAACCTTGTTTGTATTAGATTCAATTTATTATTATCTAAACAATTTTGTTTTGTAACCTAACGAGACATCAAAATATGCACAAAACATCTTAACTCGTTTTTAACATGTTGGTTCCTAACATAAGTACATTATTATATATTTTTGTATTTAAAATTTTTATTGACACCAAGTATTTGTAGTAGTAAACAAAAAAAAAATAATAATAATCACTACTTAATATATATATCACAGTTAGAACTATAAAAATCTCACTTTCTAAAATTCTAGTCAATTAAATCATTCGATGAGTAATTGTTTTAAGTTTTACTATCTTATCTCAATATTAACATATCATTGTATTTCTGAAATTCAAACTAGGTTTTTCAAAACTAGTCTTTGTAAAAAATGACTAACCTTATTTATGTACCTTTAAATAATAATTGCTAACTTTCAGTGGGGAGTTTGTGCTAACATTTTATATAAATAAAATATATAATTAATATCCTATTTTTAATAGCCCAACAGCATTATAAAATTGTAAATATTATCCAATAAGTATTTACAACAACAAAAACATCGAAGTTTAACGCTCTGTAGACATAGTTATGTATTATGATAAATTTATAAAAGATAATATATTATATATATATTTGTTAATAATTAAAGGCTGTTTCAACTAACTAAAGTTTTAACAAAACTAACCACCATATTTCATGAAATACATATTACAATTATTTTTGTTATTAATTTAAATGTTTTGAATAAATATATCAATAAAATTTTGTTCTTTAATTTCTTAACTTAATAATTTAAAATATCATGATTTTTTTATGGAATTTATGGATTTAAATAGAAAACTATACTGTATAATTGTGACATATTCAAGTAAATTATTTATCTAATCTAAAGCTTCTGTAAAAAGAATAGTGTGTGATTGAAGATCGATCATAGTAATTAATAATTTTTATAAAGAAAACAAAGTAATCGCTTAATTACAAAATTTTAGTTTTTTTTAAACATATTTTTTGTAATATACTTAAAGCACTAGAAAATATCTGCCCTTATACATCTTTACATGTCACAACACTATAATATTAGTGGATAATGGATAAACTATGATTGTTGGTAAACTTAGTTGGTTTTGTTAATAAATATTAGTAGAGACACTTAATAAATTGTTTCTACTCAAAACTGTTAAAACTATAAATTATTGTTCATTTTTTTTTTTTTTTATGTAAATTTAGTTTGATTGAAATATTTAATTATTGTTTCATACCAAATATGAATTATATTTATTTTTGTATTTTAATTTAACGAATAAAATATATTTTTACTATTAAAATTTAAAATGTTTACTGCTTTTTAAGTTTGTAATTACGCATGACAAAACTTTGATTAATTGTTATAATGGCAATTTGATCTTTAATTAAGCTTCATGTTAAGCAATAATGCTATAATCAAATCGTCACATTAAACAATGTTTAATCGTCATGTCATACATTTTGCCATTTAATTATGTCGTAAGGCAAACTTTTTAGATTTTTTTTTTGCATTATATATGAATATTTTTTTTTTTGTACCTTAAGTGTTTATGATATGTTTATTTTTTAAATGACTAGCCAACTGTTTTATTAGTTAACATTAACTTATAAAATACTCACCTTACTAATAACAATTTTATATAAGGGAGTGTAATTATATTTATTTACTTATTTATTTAATATTAATTATTACAATTATAATTTTTTCATTGTGAATATTAACATTGTTATTAGTTATTTATTATACATATATATGCATAATATATGTATAATATTATATCATTTAAAAATAAATTTATGTATTCTTATTTAACTCAAAACAAAAGCTTAATATTTACCGAAGAACGGTTTCATTGTTATGATACTATTATCATTGATCAGTGAATGTGAGCACAATAAAAACGATTTTCATTCGTTATTGTAATATGAATATGTTTATGATATGCTAGACGAAACGCACACAGTTTACGCGTGTGATACATTAGATGTACCGACTTTATTTGTATCGTTTTAACAATAATTATTAAAAAAAAAAAATCATACTGACATAGATACTGTATGAAAAATATTGTTTTACTGTTGAAAAAAATCGGCACACTGACGTAGGTACACAATTCGATGATATAGGTACTCGCCGCGCGGTTTATGTCTGATTGTGCGTTTCGTCATTGGTTTTTTGACTGCGATGAACGGTATTTGTGATAAAATATAAAAAAAAACAAAAAACAAAAATCGTACATTCGTGACAACGGCGAGACACGGTCTCGTTTATTCTGTCGACGCCCTGGCTCTTGCGACTACAGTCTGCGAGCTCTGACAAAAACGGCGTTTTCACTGTTTAGACACACACATAAGTAGTACAGTTTACAGGCATTGGGAGGGAGGGATCGCGTGAAATGTTATATAAATCAAAAACAAAAATCTACACCCGACGTGAATCGTGTTTTAGGGGGGAGGGGGGATGTTGAATAAAAAAAAAAAATCGATAAAATAAACGACGCGAGACGAAATCACCGCTGAACCCATCCGTCGCCGTACGTCTACCGGTGCAGTAGCAGTAGACGCAGCGCGTACGCGGCGACCGCTGCCGCACCGGACACCATGGCCGACGACCCCGCCAGGCCGGTGGCAGCGTTGCAGTTGTCCTCCTCGCAGAAGCACATGTGTCCCGTGCCCGTTCCCTCCATCATGCACACGTGGTCCACCATGAACAGGTTGATCTGTAGCTGTGATGTGCACGTCCTCTTGATGCTCTCATACGCTGTGGGAGGGGGTGGCCCATGAAACATATCACAATCACAACGATTATTACACAACTGTAGTGAGGAGTGTCAGACGCCCGCCGCCCGGGGTGCAGGGTGTCGCGCGTGAGTCGTGGGCTGTTGCAAATTCAGAACCGACCGTGGGGAAGCGTACGCCGACGTTTTGGCGACCCGTTTCGGTGGGCGGGTGGAGTTGGGTAGGGGCGCGGGTGGCTTGAAACTTACCCTTCGACGCGTAGTGCGCACCACACTACGCGTATACTTGCACCATGGCTGGGGGAGGAGAGGCTTTGCCCTAGAGACGTTTGTTACAACAGACTGCCAGACGTACAGCCTCCTCCCCCCTGCCCCGTCTCGGCGCGTCTATTCGGCATTGTTTTTTACTTTTTCATTGTTTACCGACGCAAAGGACGTGCGATTTATATTCAGGCGGCGGAACGTTTACTAGTGTTTTCGCGTCGACGGTCGTAAAAATTTCATGCAAAAACAACCGGAATGACCTAAAAATTAGTTTCTCGTCTTTCGCGATGTACCTTAGTGCGCACCATGAACATTTGGAATTTTATTAGTTATTTTCAATGAAATTGTTAGGTGTGAGTGGTGTGACACAAAAGTAACGAAACTTTCTAAACGTAAGCTTGACCATTAAAGTCATTTCAAGTAAAGTGATTGTTGAAATATGATTTGGAAACACTTATTTAAAGAATATCACGAGTATTAATAAAAATCGGTTTTCTTACGTATATATTTATCAGACTTTTTATTAGTGTGTGTGTGTGTGTGTGTTCGGCTATAGTTGAAGCTACTTTGAATGATGATAATTAGGGCTCAAAACTTGATGCATTTCCATCTTTTTTTCTAATGCGTTTATACGAAACTTGTCTTTACAGAAATATGACTTATGTTGTATAAAATTCAATGGAACCATTTTTATTATGCATTTTTTGGTTATTTTTGGTTACACGATAATTTTTTATTGATTTTGATGCATTTTTCACATTTTTCTTTTATATAATTTTGATAAAATAAAATATTTGAAAAAAACTAACGTACTGCACAGTCCAATCCTTCAATTATTTTTCTAAAAATATCGATTTATTTTTTGTTATTATTTTGTATTGTTGACATTATTTTTTATTTCAGTTTTAAATTTAATTTAGGGCCTGTAGTCTATGAAAAATACATATTTTATGTACCTATAAAAATATTAGCATTATTTGAATTTAGATAAATAAAAATAAAATAATAAATGAATGATTAAAAACCGTAATTATTGAAAATGTATTGTTATTTGTTGGTTACTTTAGGGTAATTTTTAAGTCATTTTTTGATGTTTATTAGTCATTTTAATACTTTTTTGTGTGTATTTTTAAAGATTTTTAGGTCACCACGTTCCGAATAATCATTAAATTGTAAAATTTTAAAAATAAAAACGACTTGTTTAAAAATTCTCTTTACTTTTATGTCACATCTCGTTTGTCATATTTAACCGATTAGTATATTTTTAAACTGTTTTCGATCGCGCATATTAATAATTTGTGATTTGATTTTTGAACAAAATCTAAACTTTACACGTTCACGTAAACACACCTATTAAAACAGTTTTTTTTTTTTTTTTTTTTTTGTTACATATTTTCAATTTTGTAATTTTTTAGCGCGCAGTGTATACAAATAAATATTGACCAGCACACAATATTATTTGATACCGTTGTTGACCGCAACACGCTAACATCATCGTATCATCTCTCGTTAGGTTTTATTGTGTTAGTTTTATTTTTTTATCGTGCAAAAGCTTCCGCTGAGCAAAGACCACTATCGATATCTCCCTTCGCGTTATATCGATCAAAGGGGGCAAAACACGTATGTTTATGGAATATATATATATATGAAAATGCCGCACAGGCACCTATGGTTAACGAGATTTCTATATTTCTAAAGAAAAGGTTTCCAGAATGTTTTAAATTCACATCGTCTCAGTATTCAGAGAGAGATACGCTGTTGTCGGAATTTTTTGAAGAAATATTTTATCATCATTCATCACTTTTGCTTAGCCACCATCATGATAACATTTAAAACATATTCATTTACAGTATAAGTAAAAAAACCAATAAAACACGACGTGCCGATAACATTGTTTCTCAGTCACCGTGTTCAACTGCATATTATTGAGAAAATATAAAACTTCTATCCGGGATGTGAAACTATACTTGGTATAGTAGTAGACATGTATTTTATAGGCGTAGTTCTCCGTGTTCCAAACGTCGTAACCAGTGGCGTGGCTAGAAATAATATAATGTGCAAGGCCCGCGGGGGGGAATCGACCTGTAGGCTTTAATTTTACGAACACCGCCTCCTCAGCGTACAATAATATCAGTATTTTTGTAATACCTATTGTTAAGAATACTTCGAGTAATACATTCAAAAAGTTAAAATATCATAAACACGATTAAGCGATGAATAAATTATTAATTATGAGTGACCTACGTTGTATGCGATGAACCTATTGTGTCATTACTCGTTACAAACGTTGTACTGTGAAATATTTTTAAAATTGATTTTTTTTCTAGCTCCCGTTTCTGCGAACAGGTACGTCATATTATTTATACGAGCACGATGCTGGGGAGACACAAGCAGAACAGACACGAGTACAGTACATATTATCCAAAAAATTATAATTAAAGTCGCTTACTCCCTCTCTTCAACATACCTAACAGTCGGGTTATTTAACCATACGCACGTATTGTCTATCTATAAATTGTACATTAAAATAATTCTGATCAAACCCAAACAGAGGCACGCACTCAATGATTTAGAAATAATGGAAAGGATAACGCGAGAGTACATATTGTATTAAATCACATTTCATAGCATTGACCAGATTGAGAAGTTCTCCCGATTCCACGATAAATTCAACAATTTATGAAATGATGAATAGAGCTTAAACAAAAAGTTAATGCGAAATTCAGTCTAAAAAAACTAATAATAAAATTAATAAAAAATCATTTAAAAAAACAATATTTATAAAATAGTCAATAACCTCTTTGAGCATGTGTGTATCAATCGAATTATAAAATGTCGATATATGTGTAAATATAAATAGTAAAGGAAACTTTTGTATTAGTATTGGTAACATAACTCGATCGATACCATTGTATATCTAGAAAATCAAATCAACTTTTCAACTGTACAACGTACAAGTAATTTCAAACAATATTATTATATATATTTAAGGATTCCGTACACCAGATACAAGCTTAACTCAGTTGGTGTACATATACCTACGTATCAGTATCAGCTCTTCTTGTTATTATTGTAACTGAGTTATTGTGTGTTGAAATAAAATAAATTAATAATATTATTGAGACGGACCACGTAGACTGTACAATTATTTATGGTTTGATTCTAATTTTGAACATGGTTAGACATATTATTATGAAGTATTCATTGCAAATTGCAGTTGACAATAGTGTTGTACGTACGTTAGCCAATAAACCGATTGAACACAGTTTTTAATTGTTTAGAACGCGATTCCAAAAAATAATATTAAAATGACCGTGTGCCCACAAGTATAATGAACGTTATATTGTTGGAGTGTTATTATATGCCTACATACTCAAATACTTAATTATGATTACATTAGAGCAGAGGTTCCCAAACTGTGGGTCTCAATCATATTTTTAAATAGTACATTTTTTTTAAACATGTGTTACTTTTCTTAAATAATTAAAAAAAAAGGTCATTAATACTATTGTGGGTTGCCAAAATTTAAATAATTTCCAAAATGGGCAGTACCATAAACATTTTGGGAACGTCTGCATTAGAGTATTTTCCAACATGTATTGGCTAATTTATAAACTAACTAGCTGAATTACCCGGCCTCGCCCGGGATGTATTCGACTATGTTATATAAAAAAATAAGGTTGAAAATATAATATCATTATTTTTTATTCGTGAGTTCTGACCTTTAACTTAACAAGAAATATTTTATTATTGTTTGCAAGATGATGTTTCAAACAATAACATGGATATTATTTTTAAAATTATTTTAAAACTTCAAAGTTTTGAGAAATTATAACAAAACGACCATGAACTCAAAATATAGGCACTAAGTACAACATGGATTTATTTAATTTTAATTTTTATAAATTCGGATTATATAAATTAAAACGATAAATACAGATAATTGGCGAATACTTCGGAATATATTATACACGGTTAAACTATATAAAATATAGTTTATATACAGTAGATTGGTGCGACGACGAATTTGATGACCGTGTAGATTTAGTCGGGGTCTTGATTGAATGATTCGGCCAGCGATGTCGGAAGTTTAAAATTTTCTTTTTCCTGGGTACATCACAGCTATAATAATGTTGATGGATTAATATTAATGACTAACATTTTAAAATCACTAAGTCCGCTTAGTCTCCGTATGGGACCATATATATCTTTCAAACCCATTATTATAATGGAACGCGTGATCGTCTTTAATGTACAAAGTTAAATAACTCGAAAACTACTCGTTTAGAAATTCGTTTTTATTACGTCAACGTTTTCGGGATAAAAGATCCGGAAAATGATTCACAATTAAAAACTGAAGTTTTCATTTCAAAAACGGAAGTTTGTGTCTCCACAAGACACTTCTTGAACTATACCTATCTAGTACCAAGTACGAAAAATCTCAAGAATTTAGCAACATGATATTTAAGTATATTTCACAAATCTGGTCTCGTATAACCGTATTATTTGCGTTATTGACATAAAATAAGGGGTTGAGTACGTCTGGTGAATCACTCCTCCGAGTATTGTAGCGCAGCCATCTGTACGCGCAGGACTCGCACAGTCGGTGTATCGCGTATTGTAATAGCTCGTAACGGAAACAGATTTCGATAAATTACATATTATTGTGCACGCGTGCACGAAAAAGACGACGAATATCGGTGTCGCGACATTCATTTTTGTTGATATAAATATATCCGTTGTCCGTTTGATGTACCACATTATTTTCAATGAGTTTTTATACATATTATTATACTGCAGGTATATATATATATATATAGGTAGGTACGCATCGAGCAGACTGTAGTAGGCTGATGTTATTATTATATTATAGAAATAACAATAAGCCCAATCACGTGAAAGCACGTCGTGGAATTTCGTAGAGCATATTATTTTCGTTATTTTTCTCAACAGCTATAAACCTGAAATACCTACGTGATCCACACGAGAAAGTTTTCGTCCGTCACGTAGCAATTTGTACAAAACATAATATATTCGCGTTGATCATTGGCCATCGATAGATTCTAGTACACATATACATTTGAGGCTCTTCGTCGAATACTCGAATATTGTTCAAAAGTAAAAAGTTTGTTCCGTCTATAATGCAATTGAACATCTCTTTCACCTCACACTCGTCTCCTGCACGCACGTAAAACCACGGGAGACGACATATCGGTTTATTCGTCTGGGCGAAAAATGACAAACCCGAAATATTTGTTGATAGATATATACAATTTCATTTTGTATCTACTCGCAAGTGCAGTCAATCCCAAACACGTGTCAATAACCTTACACCTATTACTATAGCTTATAAAATCCGCTTGTATTTAAAAGAAAAAAAAACTATGCCAACCTACGCTGTTTATAGCGTTTGCGGTTTGTGTATAAATGTAATAATAGCAATATTAATTACTATATTAGATCGAACACCTAAATATTAATAATTTAGTTGTAAAAAAAGTATATTCGTGATTTTTTAAGCGGCTTGTTAAACGTTCGAGACGTTTAAATAATACGTGTCTCGTTAAACAGCTAATGTAGATATATTTAGGTATCTATAAAAATAATAATAGGTAAATATACATGAAAATTTCTGCTGACGCGTCGTTTTTCTGGGGTAGTGTAAAGACATTACCTACTTACGTTTTTTGCATGTAAAACAAGTCGTTATGTTTGTATTGTTTATTGGTAGGCACTAGGTAGTGGCTTGATTGGAATTTTTAAATGAAACTATACATTTCCCTATGTATATTCTATTGTACGACAATAATTATGTTATGTTTATCTGGATGCCTCATTTTTTTTTTTTTTTTGGAGGGGTGGGAAGCGGGGATGTGCATTTTCACTTGTTTTTAATGATAAAAAAATCTTTAATTGTTAAACATGTTGATAAAAATCATAAAAATTGAATAAATCTGATCAAAATGTCAAAAAGAAAAAAGTCTAAAAATATCATTCCTGGTTGTTTATACTTCAAATCACCCACCTAGTGTTTAGTACTTATACATATTTAATAAATCGCTTTAACCTATATAATGTTTTAAAAATGACCTGCAAACAAGCACCAACAACTGAAATGACGTGCTTGCATTTATCTACTAAGTATTAATTTTAATGCCATTAATGAACTAAGCTGCTTCATAGGGTACAACCCTACTTTAAGAATTGTATTCGCGAAGTAAGCTGCTTATCCCGATAGAAGAAAAAATTATAGTTTTTTCTTTTTTTTCTATGATTTTTACCTATAAGCTACGTAGAAAAATGCATTTCACATACTGGTAAATCCAGGGGTTAAAAATTAATTATCCTTCCTAGTAAAAAATCGCTAGTTGAAAAAAATAGCATACAACATTTTTTTTTAACATCTCATTCATAATGTAGGTACTGTATAGTAGATTACTATTAGTGTATCTAAACATCTCCCGAAACTTACTATAATATGATGTATATATATGACACATTACTTTGTTAAACTTATTGGTCGCGGTGTATTCCGATTTTGCTGTGAAAATACTAAGCTGAAAACTAAAACTATACACCGATAATTCTACTTTAAACGTTATTATAAGGTTTTATTTAATTTATCGTAATTAAGTAATGACTAATTTATTATAAGCCGTTATACCTATCTCAATATTTTGTATATGTTCTATTTGATGGAAGGTCGATGATCTGGGGGGGGGGTCTCAGGCCCTTCTCATCCGTTACTTCCCCTTTTGTATCTAAACTACAGTTATCTATTAGTAATAAATTGTTCATTGATGTCTGTAGATTGAGTACATACAGTTACCCCCCCCCCCTTCAAACCATCACAATTCCTTAATCATAATTTACATTAAATACGCATGTCATTTTTACAGTACATCAAAATATTCAAAACCAATTTATGGACGTAAAATAGTTATACGCATGAAAGAAAAAATGCAAGTACTTTCCCTGATTTTATTTTAAACACAAAATACATAAACAAGTTTGTTATGCCCGCGTCGGAGAACTTTTTCAATTTCAGCAAATTGTTTACGGAAAGTAAAATATTTAAAATTTAAATGTTTGTAATTCTTTGACACGGAAAATGAGTTTTGACCGAGGTAGAGTAAACTTGTTTATATAAGTTCTAATGTGTTTGAATTTTTATAATAAAACTATCTAAACTACCGGAAGAACCTATAAACTGTGGTCCGACGTCTGGGCCGTCACTTTAAAAAAAGGGTGTCAATTTAATTAGCCATCATTCGGTTCATTTCCTGCATGTGCGTGACTAATGTGATCGTGCGACGACAATGTACTATAGTTATGTGTGTACTATTTATATTAACATCATATATTTACAGATACAATTTAGTGTTTGACTGCGTGGAAACACATCTGAGAAAAAAATATTCGTTCATACTCGAATCGATCGTTTCAAAATACTCCGATTTCGATACCAATATATTAGGTACTAATGTATATAAATACATAATAATTGATCAATTATGGGACTTGAGGCTACTTTACAATTCATCGTGATAACGTGAATCGAGTTGATATCCGATAAAAAAATCGTTTTGAAATTTTTTAATGCGGTAAAGGACAAACTATTAATGGTAAGTAGTAACTGGTTAACGTAGAGGACTCGAGTAGGACTGGGGGAGAGAGTTTAGTAAAAACAGCTATCAACTGTAAGTTTGGATCGTTCTTTTAAAATAATAAAACCATTAAGACAAATGCTCTGTATCACCCCTACAAACAACCATGAATTTAAATTTTAATACGCGCTTGAGAAATATCGGCGAAATACAATCGATAAAGGCACGGTGGAAAAACATGTGAAAATTTGCCACTCTGAAGGTTCTATAATAACAAAAAAAAAAAAAAAAAAATTATCGATAGATACGTACTCGAGTGAAGCTATTTAGAAAAAATTAAGTCACGATACCCGTATTTTATTATTGTAAAATATATTGTTACTACAAAAATAATTTATTGTGCAAATTTATGTATGTACATTGTACATTTGTTCAGACCGTTCGGTAAAAAAAAAAAGCGTAAAGTAACGTTTATACTTACACGTTCGCACGTATCGCACCATTTTAACGCAACATCCGTTGCAGCTGACCAGTGGCGGTTGGTCTTGAGGCATGGCTGTGTAGTTGAACGGATCTTTGCAGCGCGGGTCCTTGGCGCTGTCGCATTCGTAACAGTAAATGGACCGAGCTGAAGGCGTCGCAGGAGATCGCATGACAAAAACAAAACCAATATCAATACAAACGGTTTAAACGGGACGGGGAGATGAAGAGTTTTAATTTAATTTTTTTTCTTTTTTTTTTTTTTTAGATTTTCAACTGCATATCACCGCACTCAGTATTGTTATCGTATTATTATTATTATTGTGACATTCATCAGTTACCAGCGAATATCGTTCTAGAAATGTTATGCGGAAATCAACGATCAACCATGCACATCACAAGATTATTATATTGTTTTAACCACTAAACGCAAATTGCGGTTTATTGTGATTCGTTTAATGCGATCATTTAACATTTTTCCTAAACTTCTGTAATTTCAAGTTTGCACCTAACGTCAGTTGGTCAAAGTCGAAATTATTGTGCGAAAAAATTCGTTTGGCGTAGTATAGCTAAAAATAAGTGTTTCATTGTGCTCGTAAAAGAAAAGTTTGAAATATTTCGATATCCAATTAAAACAACATTCAATTAAACATGATTCATATTTTTGGAGATCGTGCTCAACGACGTTAAGTAGGATTTTCATTTTAATTTAGTAAGAATTATTAAATTAATTAAATGTATTTATACATTTAACTGAAACATTGAAAATTAAAAATTTAATTCATTTAAAGTGAGAAATATATTTATATCGAAAATTAAAATTAAATTATCTGTAGATTTTCAGCAATGCAAACTGGAAAGTTGCTTAACATTAAATAATCAAAAATTAAAAAACATTAAATATATTTTTTTCCGAAATATTTCATTAAAATTGAATTAAAAAATATTATTGTGAACAATTTAATAAAAAGTATACAGAAATTTAAATTCTTTATAAATATTATCATTATTTTTAATTATGTATTCATTAAGAGTGAAAATAAAAAGGTAAGCAAGTGAGTACTGCTTTGCCGTACAAGTGAAAATCACTGTAATGGATGTAATTAAATTTGAATTCAATGATTTATTATTATAAACGAAAAATAATTCTGAGCAGAGACGATCTATCAGTCTATAACTTATTTTGTATTATATTTTTTAATTTTACTATTAAGTTATTAGAAAAAATGGTTTGAAAATTATATTATGTGTAGAAAATTATCATTAAACGATAACTAATATGGTGAAACTTTCAAATACTTGGGCTTATTTTTTTTCGAGTTACGATAAAAAAAAATCAATTTTGTCGAAAATTGAATATGTGTAGATATATCGTTTTTTTCTTAAATTTTTGTTTGTTTCCTTGATTATTAAAAAAAAAAAAAAAAAAAAAAAAAAAAAAAAAGGTACTAAGAATTTTTAATTTTACCTAATGAATAAAAAAAAAACATTATTGTATTAATATATTCGTCTTTTTGCTCAGAATCTAAAATAGGAATCTATTTAAATTAAACATTTTCCTAAAATATATTCGCTGGTCTGCAGAGGTTTGATGGACGTCAGTCGTCAATATAGTCAAACTTATTAATATCATTAATCATTATTTTATTTTTAAAAATGACGTATTATAAATAATAATAATTATTACTAGTGACAAGTAGGTAAATTGTTAGCAGTATGAGATACGTATATTAAATTATTATTGTGGAAATTTAGAAGTGGACAGAGAGTTGTGATTAAAATGTTAATTTGTTAGAAACCACCTCCTCACAAGTGATTTAAAATGATATAAAATATCCAAGCAGTAAAAAAAAAGAAACAAACATAATCAACCAACAGTTTTTAGTTTTTAATAAAAGGTATTAGTAATTGTAAAATTAATTATTATAAAAAATATAGAGCTCGAACTTTGTTAAATTAAAATTATTTTATTTTCTAAGTTTTTAATTTACGAATATTGCTATATAGTTAAGTCATAAATTAATTTCAAGACTTGATGAATCAAATATCAAAAGTTAATTAGACCATAATTGAGGATTATTATACATTTTAGGAGGTATTAATGTGACTGAAAATTTCGTAAACTCGAAATAACGATTGTAACTTTTAATATTTTGTGGTCATGTCATGAATTCATGACAAACAATATGTATTGTATGTACTTCGAACTAATAGTTCGTATTAATTTTATAGTATTGACTATAAAAAGTGATTAATCACAGTAATACATATTTTATATAATTCATAACCATACCTAAAGGCTAAATTCTATTAATTAATTGAAATTTATAAGTTCATAAAAATAATTTTTTTTTTGTCCTTAATTTATTTACATGTAATTGAATACAAAATACTTATAAGACAGATGCAGTTTGTAAAAATTCAAACAATTTTATTTTGTTATATAAAAAAAAATTGATAAAGATAAAATTAATTCAATTAAAAAATAAAAATATTGGGAGTTAAATTAACTATCATATTATAATGACACGAAAGATTACACATGTTTAGACATTTGAAAGATTTTCAATGAAAAAATGTATTACCTACTCTATTTTCGCAATTTTTTATACTGCAATTAAAATGTGTTCAACTATACCTATACCTGATGTTGCTTTTATAACAGCTTTTTTTAAACTAGCTCGTATAAAAAAAAAAAAAAACAAGTACGAAACAAACAATTTATAAGAAAGATTAACTGATTCAATGGTTATGTGTTCTGAAATTGACAGTTTCGACGTGATCGATATCAGTTATCGACATAACTTAAGTCTAGTTCTAAAAAAAGTAAGAAAAAATAGTTTGTTCAAAGGAAATAGTCGTAAGTTATAAAAAAATGAAAAAATGTACGGACTACCAATATTTTATGGATCCCTAAAATAGGTAATTATTGTTCTCGAGCCCAAACGTATGTTAAAACCGGCCATGAGTGTACGGTCGCACGCATGATTAGTGTGATTTTTAAAGCATTTTAAAGTTCGAGCCCTAAATGTTTGATATAACATCATGATGAATCATATTATTATTGTAGTTTGATGCAATATTATATTAGGTTCTCAACCGTACACCGTAGAACGTTTACATTATAGTGCATCGGAGAAGATGGCATAACCCTGTGCTATATTTACCTTTATAGGCATTTCGTATTAGCTATATTGGGTAATAAATCTATGCGTGCACTTAACGTGCTTACTACCAGTCGGTAATTATTTTTTGTACGTTATTGTACTTGTACTCGCGATATATTATACACTACTTAAAGGTCAGCTGCACTCGTCACGGCGTACGTTTTTATTTACTTCACACGATTATTATATTGTTGTTATTTTATTAAAATTATTATTATATTACAATATAATACGTTATTATTCGGTTGCACTACGTCGCACACCTACCTTGATATGCTGAACATTCCGTACTAGTACTGACGACTCCGGGCGTGATAATAACGAGTAAGACAGTAATTATTCTAAGGTCCTTCATTCGGGTCGATATCGTAGTAATATGTAGTATAATATTTTTTACGTGTGCATTACATCGTACACGCCATGGGTACGGTTGACAAAACGTCGGAAGATACAAATGTACGTATTATACGATAGAAAGACGAAAAACGAAATAATACCATGACCGGAGTTTCGAACGAAAACGATAATATTATATTACGCTGTAAACAGAAACCAAGTAAAACGGCGTATGACGATATTAATTGTATTGTTAAAACAGTGGTAGGTACGAGTGTACAGCGTTTAAGCGAACATATTATGGAATAGAATAATGTTATAATTATTTGCGAAAACGATTTTACAAAAAAACAAACTAAAAAAAAAAAAAAAAAAAAATCAAAGTCCGCCCGTAACCGACGAATATCGCGATGTACGTATAGTAGGTACGTGTTTTGCAGTTATGATACGTATATAGCGACGTGATACCGTTTGTCCGTCGTACCGGTTAAATAGTGTATTGAATCATTTTAATATAAAAATAACGTGACACAAAAAATATATATAATTTCAATAATAATAATAATAATATGTTTTGTTTGTTACTCACGGGGAAAACATTCCTCGCGGGACAGCGATATATTAACCAACACGACAACTGAAATACAAAAGAAACACACACAAGTTTAAGTACAGGTACGCGGATTTCTGCGCGCAAACAATACGTCATGATAACAACAAAAGTGGGCAGGTATAATACATAGGTACAGCGTCATCAAATAAACGTACATATAGTAATGATGATAATAATAATAATAATATCATATCATCATGATTGCTATTATTATTATTGTTATTATTATTATTATTATTATTATCGTTATTGTTGTTAGTATTGTTTACGTATATTATAATATATGTTGAAATGAATATATATATAATATATAAATATTTATAAATAAAAAATAATATATTTAGATGACAATAATTTTATACTTTTTTGGTTAAATTAAACAAACAAACAAAAAAAAAAACTCCGAAACGACGCGACGCGAAACGCGAAACGACCAAATGCACCTCGTGTACGGGCTCTGGGTCGGTTTTTCACCGTTCACAGTTATGTAAGTTTGAATTAGGTACGAAATCGATTACCATAATACGTATTATTATTATTATTATTACTATTATTATTAATGTCATCGCGTGTTTCGCCGATTCTATTTGACCGTGTGTGCGTGTGCGTATAATATTGTACACGGTATGCCCTTAGAACACAACACGCGCGAACGTACCTTATATGCTATAATAATACTTACAGAACGTCGTACACGCGTAATATTATAATGTACTGTTATATTAAATAATATACAGAGTGAATTACCGAGCATGCCGGCGCACCCCTCACTCGGCACATTTTTTATTTTCGCGAATACTATTTCAGATTTGTTCAAATCCAGATGTTTGGAATTTTCAAATAATATATGTGGGGGGGGGGAGGCGCTTAAACGCAGTTATATTTTTACGAAAATTCTTGACATTTTTGTGCTACTTAAAAGCAATATAAAATTCTATTTTTTTTTTTTATTTTTTTTTAATCTCTTCTTACACCCTTTTTTACTGTAAATCGTTTAGTGGATATTTTTTTTTGAAAATGTCGATGTACCCAATTCAAAATTCGATTGAATAGTTTTTCAGGTATTGAAATGTGTATACCAAGTTCTTAAAAATGGTTTTACAAAAGTAAAAAATACCTTCTATAGATTTATTATTGGACCTACGTTTTCAAATCACTATATCTCTCATATCTTCCTAACCCATTGATCTAGTTATTATTCTATACTATTACATTACGCTGAAAAGATTCTGTGCGTTTCAATGTGATGATTTTATACCGATAACAAATTTAAGAAGAAACAGTAGTGACCATGTTTGCTGTATCACTCTGTATAATATGTATGTGTGTGTACACGTTTATTTTAAATTAATGACGTGATTTCGTCCGCGTACAATGTATAATGTGATATTTGATGGGTACCTCTATTTATGCATGCAGGTAATAATATATTAAAAAATAGTCGTAGTATATATTATTCTTTCCGAAAAAGCATTTGTCACAAAAGACATCGATTTCGTCGTGACGGCACGGTCGAGGGTCGTCTTCAGCATAATGTACGCTTTTTCGTTTGCGCTAGCGACCTAGTAAAACATTCGGGACTATAAAATAATGTACGCACTCGTGTTTGGTACCTTTATGTATGTATTATCGTTAAATAATATTTAAATGTAAATATCGAATGAAATATTGATCACTTGAGACGTGTGTGAATACTCAAGTAGGAAAGAGGATCCGCATCGGAGACTCCCCTAGTTCCTGCTGAGTACACCATTGTCACATAATATTAATAATTTAGAAATTATAATCTAACGACATTTATACAACCACCTTTTGCGTATCTAAGTATAAAATTGTTAATAATTTAAACAGTAGGATAAGTCTACGTAATTATAGTTAAAAGTTTAAAAGTTAAAAGTTACGTGGACACTTATTTTGACTTATTGAGTTAAAAAAAAAAAAAAAAATAATAAATAAATAATTGCTTAGGTACCATAGGTAATACTCAGGCACCACTTTAGTAATTACATATGCATTTAAACATTTTTTTAAATAATCTTGGTAATTTTTAATTTTTGTTATTTATTATTAGAAGTAGGATTTTTATGATTTTACATATTTATTTCTAATGTGTGCATTTAAATGGGAGTAAGATATATGTATGATTCATATATATAGAAATAATTTTATTGTGCATAAAAATATGTTTTAGGGGTTAGAGAATATTTGTGAATAAATAAACAATATTTTTGTTTTTCTGAAAAAAATAATTAATTATTTTATTATATATTATTTGTACGTACTATATTTTATGCACCGATTAATTTTCATTATAAACAAAATAAAATAAATTTAAAAGATTATTGTAGACCAAATAAATTTAAAATAAATAATTTTAATATTTCTTTTATATAGCATAATATACTAAGAGAATATAATAGGTATAGCCTATTTTGAATGACTTAAAAAAGTCATATTTAAAGAATTTTAAGCATAGGTGTGCGCATGGGGTAGAGTTGATTGAGCTTTAGCTCCACCTGAGCCTTTTTTTTATTCGTAGGTGGGTAATTGGTATTTAAGAAAGTAATAAGGCGTTATAGCTGTAGAAAATTGATTACAAAATAAATAAAAATTATAGATTTACACGATTAAAGATATACTAATTGGCCATAGGCATAATATTTTTCTTGTGTGATCCTGATGAGAGGGGAGGAGGAGGTAGTAAAATTGAATTTAGCCATACCTGACTCAAAAGTCTGAGCACGCCTATGATTATAAGAAAATATAAATCCTATCTTTATTTACTGTCAATTAAAATCGATTTTTTATTTAGTGTTATAAAAATATTGTATTGATGTATGATGCACCAAGCACGCTGATCTACATTATTTCTTTAAATAATATATTAGGTAAATCAAAATCTAATTTTCGAACATTTTAAATATACCTTAAGACCATATTTCCAAATCAATGTCATGGGCGACAAAGTAGGTACATACAATTAATTAACTCAGAAACTTCTCGTTCGAATTTCACAAAATTTACACCCATCGTCATAAGATTTCTTAAATTGCATAATAATCCATATGAACTTTAATAATTATACTAAAAAACTCTAAAATTAGAACTTGTTTAAATTCAGGGAAACATTGGGATGACTGTGCTTTGTGAATTACTCTGTATAATTAGACGAAAATATTGCATTATATGTACATAAGTCGTGTTTTTCTTAGTGTCAAAGGTGTTAATATCAATTTTACTGAAATCCAAAGTATTAAAAATACAATAAATATTGCAAAAAAGTGAATCAATATTTAAATTTTTTAAATTGTTTCACAGATTTTGTCTTATGCAAATCATGTGTATTATGAGTTCGTATAATGTAGATGCACTTGTAGTGTAATGTAGTAAAATAATTAATGTATAATTTCACACACGTAATAATAACAAAATCAATCCTTAATTATTAATCTAATAACGTCATATTATTATACGTGTTCTGTTTGAAGTTTTTGTTTTTCAAAAAAACGTATTCGAAACTTGTAAGTTATAGTATTTAACTACAAAATGTTTGTTTTTGATAGAAAATTTATAACCCTGTTTTGAATATTAAAAAAAAATTTCTAATTTAAGTGACTTATATTAATTTATCAACATTAATGTTTTATAAAAATAGTTAAGTGTAATAAATATTAGATCCAATATTATAATCTTATATATTTATTGTGCGTATATAAAAATTGAAAATTCAAAGTTTTTTCTGAGTAGGTATAGTCATAAATTAAAAATTATAAAGATTCATGTTTTTCATATGTATTTTATGTACGTATATTTTATACATTTGTTAACGTTTGTTCAGAATTGATGAGATTTTCCAGTCCAGTCAGTAAAAAAATTGCGTAATGCTTCTGCAAACAACGAGATGGCATTCTTGTATTTGTAACAAAGATTATTATTTTTATTTTTAGGTTCTGAGTGGATAATAGAATGTATTGATTTTACAATGATGTATGTTTTTTATTTGTCTCTCATCATTTTTTGAGGCAGAAAAATGTTTGTGGTTTCTAGAAAAAAATCGGATTTAGTGGTACTTTGAGTCTGGGGGCTTAAATGTTTATAATTTTCAGTACTTTTCAAAATTTCAAAGGAAAACAAAAAATTAAGGGAAAACGGGAATTTTCACGCAAAACCAGATATTGACAGTATTAATTTCTTAACTTTGTTATAATTAAAAAACAATGACTATAAAAACTTGAAATTTTCATTAAGTATTCATATTATCATTTTATATATAATATGGTATAATTTTTCAAATAGTTTTATTCTTTTTGAGCTATTTATGGACAATTGAAATTTTCGCTTATTTTTTTATCTGTAAACGTCTATAAAAAATGTATTGTTAAGTAAAAAATTTGAAATGTTTTGTTTTTAATACAAGGTTCATCAAAAATGTTTCATTTATCAATTAAAAAAATAATTTAAAATACAAAATCACGATATTTTTTTATTATCAAGATTAAGAATTAGAATTTTGACTAAATTCATCAAAATGATTTTGTAGTTAAAAATATACAAACAATTTTTTTTTATATCTAAAATTTCAAAATTTAGTACAAGATTTCTCTTATAGGTAAGTATACTTCATAGACTTACAGTTGTACCAAAAAAAAATCTAAAAAATGTATAAGCATAATTATTTTAGACATGAAAATTTCAGATTTGGACGAAATTACATATTTAAACAATGAATAATGATGTTTATTATTGTGTTTTAATTTAAAACATTATTCTAGGGGGATTTAAAACTTTTATGTACATTATGAATTTTACTAAATGCAATAACATTGTAAAAATACTTAGATTGATTTTAAGATATTACATATTTATACTTAGTTGCACTTTTTTGTGGTAATTTAATATTAACTCATAAGTTTATTACAATTATAATATAATATGCTACGAATGTTTAACATTATTATATT